TTTTGTTGCTATTACTGTAACTATTTGTTGTTGTCATTGTATTTGTTGTGGTGTGTCTTAAGTTTTATTGTGTTAAAGAGGTTTTTGTCAACCATCATTTTTTCAGACTTTTCCTATATTTGCATATGTAAGTATATATCCATTCGTACATATTTATATACATACGTTATGTTGGATAGAAAATTACATACATACACATATAAAAATGCTCAATTCAATTCAAATGACTTGACACTCTTTTCGTTGCCTCGCTTCTCTCGCCTTATTTTTATCTTTTTTTTTTTTTTGTTTTCTTTGTCGGTTGAATTTATGGAAAAAGTTTACAACATGGTCTTAAAAGACATTATTTAACATTACTGACAAGTGACTTATGGTTTCGTAAACAAAAAAGTGCAAAAAAAATCTAAGTAAAAAAAAATCAAAGCATACTTTTAGGAGAAAATAGAACTAAGGAAATGCTTGCATACTTTTTGATAGGGAATAAAAACAGTATATTAAGCAAAGAGCTGTAAATATCTCTAATAGCTTGGGTTTTCATTCGGCAAAGTATTTAAGTCAATATTTCTTATATAAAAAACGACAATTTGCGATATATGTATGTATATACATACATTAAAGATATTGCTTTATTCAATAAAGGAATTATTCGATTTTTGACACATATTCCTGATTATTATTAATAAATTTTATATTCTCATTCCGTCCTTGTCACGATCACGTTCACTTCTAAATGAAAGCTTATCCGGGAAATTCGGGCAGGGTCAACCATATTCGATTACTATTTTTGTCAGAAAATTTAATTAAACAGGTCGATAAAATGGAAGCTGTATCATCGCTTTCGGTTCATCGGAAGCGATTTCTGCAATAACCTGGTCGTTTAGTACAATTGTTGTCTTGGAGTCACTTTTTCAAATTTGCCAACCGAAAACAAATGACGAGCAAGGCAGCAAATGTGTACGCGGTGCTTAACGATCTTCCCGTGCTCAAAGTTTCCTGCAAAAAATAGTGAATACATTGCCTTTTGATATCTTTGGAGTGTTAGTTAGATCTTGCAGCTCAACTTTACGATTATGAAGAATAATTTTGAGGTTCTTTTGCTATGTTTTCTGGCGTAACCATCTTGCCCGTGCGCTCTCTCAAAAGTTTTTTCGTGTTAAATCTTTAAGAATATTTACGCGGGCGTAGCAAATAATTTTGAAAAACATGTTCCACTGTTTTAGATAACAAAACGGAAATTTGAATCGTTTCATAGAATTAGGTTGAGTTATAAACTACTTCCGTTTTCTTTAACTTGCCGAGTTTTCTTAATTTCGCCGGGTCGCAGCAGAAAGCTGATCGCGATGTATTCAACGTTCCTGCTGCATTGCCTTTGTTTTCCGATTGGAGCTCTAATAAGAGCTTCAGACTGCATATTTTTTCCAGTTGTTTCCATCACTGTCTTCTTTAAATTCCCAAAGGATCATAGGACAAGTGCGGACTTTTTCTTCCCATTTAAAAGAATTATGAAGAAAAATTTAACAAAACTTGCACCACATAAACAGTTGCCAGACAACTGCTTGCACCTTTAACTATTTACTGAAAGCAAAAATTTCCGGTCATTTATGCTACGTACATAGCGAGTATAGATTCTACACCTTTTTTGTGTTGCTTTTTAATATGACCAGTGACACAGGGGTAACGCGGTGATGGTCACAAAGACGACTGGGAAGGCGTGCGCGACCAAACTTTCACTTTAGCTACTACCACAGACCAATCGTAATTAAAATATGGTTTACTGCACTGACTACTGAACCCAGATATTCCGATTTGGTTGTCGCGCTTCTTAACTACATGGCTACGCCTAACTGCAACTTTATGCCTATATCGGAACTTGTTAGTAACTTGATGGTTTCTTTTTTGCTTTAATTTTTATGTTGTTCTAAGCTCAGTTATTTGATTCCGTAAAGTATTCTAATCACTTGACTTCATGTACGGCTATGGCAAAAGGTCTTAGTTAATCTCATTCTTTGTACGCAAATATTTTTGGGAATTTTTTTTATTTATTAGTTTAAAAATATATTAGAATCTAGAGCTTTACAAAAATTAAGAGAATATATACTTACTTTCATTTATTGAGACTTTATAAAAATTCTTTATCGATAACATTTTTCAAAGAATTGTTGCAAAAGTTAAGTTTGGATAACAATTCTTTTTATGTTGAAGTTATAAAAAAAGCAATGCTTTGACCGCAAGTAGGACATAAATTGCCAACAAACTTAAATTGAAAGAATTTGTTGCCGCCGCATTTATTAGTTAGCATATGAGCTATTTCGTGATCAGTTAATATCTGATTGACGTCATAATCAATTATCGTTCAAACTGGCAAAGTTGTCACGATACGAAAAGGAATAGTAGTAAGTAAGGGTTCTTCCTTATTTTATTCTTCATTCACTGATCGGCCGCGCATTCGCATTTGGTTGAATGCTTTACCTCACGTGAGAGAATGAGTCCTAATGTGATGTGATTCCTAATATACAAGATTACAAATTAATATATTAGGCTATTTGGAAAATTTCTGGGAGATATTAATGAAATGAATTTGTAAGCAAAACAGGTTAATGCGTTATAATTTGGCAGGGTCAACTTTTAAATACACTACACCATTTTGCGAATTCATCTGACCATCTTCGTTATAAAATAGCAAAAATTCAGTTATACGAAGGCTTACTTTTTATGGAAACCGTTTGATGAGAAACAATTTAGAAAATAGAGTTAGTAAGCTATCAAAACCTACTATAACTAATATTTGTTTTTAAAAACGTCATTGCGCAATACATTTCCAGTCATTTCTCTTGAAATTTGCAGCTTTTTGCTTGAATACAAAAGTAAACGCGCAGACATGCTCGAATTGAGGCAGAAAATGATTCTAATAAACGGACAATCTAATCCTTTTGAGTGTTGCATACATTCAACCGAACAAACTTGTGTAGACAAACTTGTATAAATAAATAATCGAGAATTTTTGCGAAATTTTTTTTTTTGAGAAAAGTTAAGGAAAAATTATTATATAGGTTGCGTTAAAGTCAATCGCGCTTGCGCCTATGCTTGTGCGAATGTAAAGGCTTCTCTGGAGTCTTAGTCGATAATATTTAATCCAACCAAAAATATATTTTTATTGCAATCATTAAGATTAAAGATATGTGTTTACCATTTCGATTCGATTCTCTTCCTTCTTCATTTATAACGATACACTCGTGTGCTTGCTTAGTTTGCAAAGATCATTGTGTCTGCCGCGATTGTGGCATGTTTTCAGAAGGTTTTCTAAATTGTGACATGATATGTGTGGCAGCGCGTCTAACTGAGTTAAGAAAACGACTACACAGCACACTACACCTACACATTTTCTTTTCTGCACGTTTGTTGTGCAGTTGTGTGTTACTAAGCAAAATAGTAATAATAATCATGATAATAATAATAATAATAATAATAATAAAAATAATGAAACCGCACAGTTTTATTAAATTTATTGCCCAAGACGAGTACGATACATCCCGGCAGATTTAAATAGTGGCCTGCATTAACTTAATGCATTTAAATTGTGACTATCGTCTAATATTTCAGTGCATTGCTGTTCTGTCTACGTTTCGCTTATCAACTGCAGGATGAATGTGAAGTAAAGGTGTATATACAACACACACGCAGCTAGACGCAGGCATACACATACACACTCTATTTCTCCTACTCTTCTCTAAATTTTACTAATAATTTAGAAGCAGTAATAAAGAGTGAAAAAGTGCAACTGTCACTTAGCGTATGAACTATGTTTTTAGTTTATATAATACAGTTTTTTTTTGGTTTGTTTGTTTGTTTGCTTGCTTGCTTGTTTTTTTTTTTTTTTTGCTCTTTTCAATTGGTCATAACACACAACGTTTTGCAAGATTGTATTTAAAGCATTTTGTTGGTAATATTTCAAGAGGGAACTGCGTGCCTATGTGTGTATGTACTTAGCATATATGGGCATGCGGATGACTGTCAGTCATGGTGTGTAATTTATTTTAAAATGCTTGAAAAAGGAAACAAAAAGCACACAAAAAACAAACAGCAAAAATATAGAATTTGTCAAGAAAATTTGTCATTTTGGTTAGTTTTCTTGCCAGCATATTTATGTATGTACGCGTTTGTGTATAGGTTTCTTTTGTGTGCAAAAGGTTTGTCTTGCAAAAAAAAAATCATAATAACGACTTTTTAAGATGGTTTGGCCAGATTCTCCTCTTTGTTTTTTTTTTTTTTTTTTTTGAGCCATTTTTTAAGGAGTGTTAGAAATTAGATAAGGTTTGAAGGCGGAAAACGATTTACGAAATAACAAGCTTAACCATACGTTTCTTCGGTCATGGGAAGTTTTAGATTCCGAACTAAACATTTCAAAATATCGTACATCCGTTTGTTTGCGGAGGCGGCAGACAACAGGGAAATATAAATGACATGTATATGTATATAAATGTATAAATGCATGACTTAGTTGGTGGCAGCCAAACTATTTCGACATGACTGCTAATGACCAAAAGATTACTTTCGTACCTCGGCACTGTTTGAAATCCAGGCAGCTCAGGTAATTTTCAAATTTTCGATGAGATCATTTTTTTATACTAATGAAAAAAAATTGCCTGCAAATGTTGTAAATGCATAAGGAATAAAGTTGAAAACGAAAAATGAAACAAGAGAATCAACGACTAATGACAAAATAATTTTCAAAAAACCAGAAAAAAAAAAACAAAAAAAAAACTTAAAAGAGAATGCGATCAAGTGCACGCAATCAATCTAAGGATTCGTGACTGCTATTCGAATTTCTTATTTCTTACACATGTATATGATCGGTGTTATCGTTTTCGTAATTTTACCTTACTCAGCGATACAGTCAGTAATTGCTTTTGATTTACAATCGAAAAGTATCCGTCTGTCCTTTTATATAATTTATTTCAAAATTTTCATTAAGATAATTTTTATTTGTTTTCTTCACTTACCATACATTTTACCCTCATCGGAGAGTATGATTTTTCGTCGTCCACATGGTGGATATATTGAGAGGGCCTCTTGAAAACTTTGCTCGATATCAGGACTCCATACGCCTTCGGCATCAGCATTCGATAGATCCTTTTCATCCTATAAAGAAGAAACAAACACACATACACACGTACAAATAAGATCAATTAAAAAGCAATGACTTTGTCACAGTCTTTATCGTATAAGCAAAAAAAAAAACAGTAAAATTTAATTAAGAACAAAAAAAAAAAAAAATAAAAAAAATAAAAAAAGAAACACGAATTTCTCTTTCAAAAGCAATACACACACACACACATACACATACGTCGATATATATTCTTTATACGATGATACACTCGACTGGCAAACAAGTGTCAGTTTTTAATTGTCATCCATCCAATGAAGTTAAGTACTCTTATAAGATCTGTCTTTCCCTCCCTTAGTATATATGTGTATGGGAGCATGTAACCTTTTAACAGTTGAATGAAGTGTAAGAATATTAAGTAGAAAACAAGGAGATGACGGCTGTTTTGTGTATTATATACGTCTTTCATAAAAAACCTATTGACATACTTATGTAGGTGTCAAATTACACTGATGAAGCGTATTGACAGCGTTCAGACGGAATGCTCATTATACGTACGTTGCAGCGCCTTTGTACAGCATGTGTTGCTTCATTATTAAATTTTAATCCTTAAAAGTAATAATAAGATATGTGACCCTCTGTCTATCATCAAAATCAGAAGGATAGATCAAGTATTGCTAGTACTTTTAAAGTATTTCGTGTATTTACATCCTACACACACACACACATTTATGATGAGAGTATATATTAAGTATATGCGGGTTTATGCAACACTTAGAATATCTTTGGATAGATTCACCTATCGTCATATCATTTAAGCATATCTGTCCGTTCGTCCATCTTCAATGTCAATCCATATGCATTAATAGTCAATTAACAGGTTCAGGTGCTTTAATAAAATCTGGTAAACTGTCATTTTTCGGCATTCATAGGACGACCGCTATTGAGAATGGATTGTCTCGGATAATTTTTACGATTACTATTCACATTACTATTATCTTATTTTGGAAGGAATCTTTATATGAAAAAAATTTGTGATAAAAAACGAGGGAGAGAAAGAGAAAGAGAGAGAGAGAGAGAGAGAGAATTATTTTTAATATTTTATGATGAAACTAATGATTTGGTATATAAATGCACTGTGTTAACTTTGAGCCAAATCTGGTTTTCGCCTCATTCTCTACGGCGAGTAAGCCTCTCTACGACCACATTGTCTAATTTTTAATGTTTTGTGAAGATTTGGGTTCGGCAAATTGGTGTAGGGTATCTACTAGAGTCGGCCATAGGATTCTTAAGCTGCAGTCCTGGAATTAAAACAACAAAGAGCGATCTTTCCATATTTGATCACGATCTAATACCGTATACGAAGTATTGAGAAGAATTGACGAATTGTCACAGTGTCAGCTGTATGCCAGCTACATAAATATCGGATATATGTTAGCTTGAATCTTTCAAATATGACTCAAACGACTATTTCGGTTAATTGGTTTATGGCTAGCAGAGATGCTTGTTAACACAACAACAAATTAGTATAGAAATTAATTCTTTTGAATTCATTGACAACCATATTTCGTCAACGATTGGATCGGCTCATCCAACGATGGGTAGTTTTATATGAGGCTTAATAATGCGGAGCTGTTCTTTTCTCTCACGGAAACGGTCACGAGTTAATTGTGAAATTGTGCACAGCGTTCCTATTACAAAAATTTATTTTTTTTTATTTATGGACGGTTTGCGTAAGAAGTTTCAATTTTCAGAATTTAAAAAAGACTACGATAGGGTGGTCAATAAATTTGGAATGTCTCTCATATAATCGCCTGTCTTTACTTGGTACTTTCTTCAATTAATTTTCTGCGTTTTTCTTTTCCGTCTCATCGCTGCAAAGTTTTCTATTTAATAACGCTTGTAGCGTGTTTACACACTGTTTAATTTTATTCTTAAAATGTAAGCCATGTCAGCTCATCTAGCAAACTAAAATCTTATATGAAATAAAAATTCGCAGTACGCGTCTTGTCCCAGCAGTTAGCGACGTGCACTACTTTTACCGCATATTTGCAAATCGCGATTTTTAGAAAGATATATGATTTTTATCTTCTAGATACTTGTATGAAATAAATGAGGCAAATATCTTTATATATGAAGTGCATCAAGCTTCACTGACAGCAACTGCTGCGAGTTCGCAGTAGCTGGTAGTTAAGGTTAGGTTAGGTTTATTTCTACTTACGTCACTCATGTCGCCCACATCAAGGTTTTTACTATCTACCATACTGCCATTCGTATCTGCGGGTCCTAATGGACCCGGCGGACCAGCGCTTACGGGCGTCCACGGTGATGTTATAGTGCCCGGACCAACTATACCGTCTGCAAGAGAATATGATTAATAGAATAAAAAAAAGAAAAAAAAAAAAATATATATATTAATAATTCTGTGATAATAAACGACAACATGATATAAATAGAGGAGAAGAATTTAATGGTGTTCATGGTGGCTTAGACGACGTTTTATAAAACGTTTCACCCATCAATTATTTCCCTTTTATTCTCTCGAGAAAAACTCTGCGCGTGCTTTAAACTATTGATAAACGGAAAAAAATTATATAATTGAGTGGTAATTTTAGTAAACACTTCATACGTACATATATATATATATATATATATATATATATATATTCACAAACACATACAAACAGGGTATTATGCATGTTAAAATGGATGTTAGTGAAAAAGTGAAACCGCAAATATGCCGAAAATGTTGAAAATCACAACTAGTGGCAAAATTTATGCAGTGAATGAATAATTCCGCCGACAGCATCAGCATCAGCAAATAGCAACAAACACTATCGTGTAAAGCATACGAGGACAAATGGCGTCAGGGAGGTATAGGCAGAATAGATGAATTGGTTGGGGATGAGTTGAAGTTTCGCAGAAACAACAAACAAAATGAAGACTGACATTTAATACGATTCCAGGGTGAACGTCATTTAATAGAAGCGTCATAGGAGAATAAAAAAGAAGAGCGACAACGCGGATAGAAAAAAACTAAACTAAACTATTATGTAAGTGACATAAACATTTATAGAACAACAACAACAACAACAACAACAACAACAACAACAACAACAACAATAACAGCAACACCAACAACAACAATAACAGCAACAGTATCGTACTCATCAGAGCTGCGAATGCAAAAATCTCGGAAAATCTTTTTTTTTTCCAGTTACGAATCTCATATAAAAAAAGGACGAACAAGTTGTTTGGAAAAAACGAATAGAAAAGAAAAAAAGACGTGAAAGAAGGGAAGTTAAATTCAACTTGAAATGCATTATTCGATCATTTCACGCACTACGATTGGGGAACGTTATCTATCCGGGCGTCGCCAGTTTGAAAAGATTTTAATTACTACTGCAAAGAGTAAAGACTGCATGCATTTGTTCAGCATGAAAGCACCTCAAACAGCTTGCGATCGATTAGTTTCGTTTTATTTAACGTACACTTTCACGTATTGTTACATACGGTGACGGAAAGTTAATATATTCCCATGCGAGACCTATGAAAAACACGAAATATATGTTGCGGCTTTGTTGTAGGATAAAGCATTTTGACAATGCGTTTACACTGTACGTAGCGACGATTTTTTCTTCCCCCTAAAGGTTTTCTATATTATACATATGTGCACATAAGTGCCACTACAAATACCACTAACCATAAAATATAGCGTAGATAGTTATGCCAACATATGTATATATATATATATATGTAAGTATAGTTTGTACATTTACACCCACCATTAGCGGATGATAGCGTATTAATTGTTTCGTTCAGTTTGCATCAGCGAAAAAATTGTTGCGTGTCTCGTTGATCATCATCCCGCGCCCCCTATATATGTGTGTGATTTGATAGAAGAATGATCAATGATTTAATTATGTCTGTCTCGTTTTGTATCTATCGCCGATGAATCCAAAAGTGGACGTGGGACCCCCAAGCACAGTTCTACAAAAACGCCCACAATAGATGAAAAGCTTAAATAACTTGCATGTAACGTCGCGCGTGTCTGTATGTGCATTAAAAATATCAAATAACACTAATTTGTTTGAAGTACTGACGTTTTTTCGCGCATAACATGTTAACTTATATGTCTATATATATATATATATATGTAAATATATATGTATGTGTATATGGGTTTTTTGTTTTTTTTGTTTGCTTTGTTTTTTATTATCGTGCTCTCTCTCTGTGTGTGTGTGTGTGTGTGTGTGTGTGTGTGTGATATAATTTAAAACAGTGATTACAACATTTATCACTTCAGTGATATACACTTATTGCAGTCGAACACATTCACATGTACAGGCTCATTCACATAAATACATGACAGTAGAGAGTTTATTAAAATATCATTGTGGAGGCGGCATTTTGGACTGAGTGGCTATAGTTTTTCATATATATCCATACACACACACAGACACACGCACGCACACTTACACATACGCACACATGCTTAAACGTTTTGTTGCATTTTATAACCACAACTAATGGTGTGCATATGCATACGCGTATATGTATATATATATATACATATATATGTGTGCTGTCGTTTCAATTTTATTTTATTTTCTCTATAAATTCAATTATTTATGTGGTGTTTTATTTTTTTCTTCTTCATTTTTTTTTTTTTTTTTTTTTTTTGTTTATTTGTTTCAAGTGTGCATTCAACCGAATTCAAGTGTTAAACCAAATTCATTTGCTATTGGCTTTCGGTAATGTGTACATCTACAAATGTTTTTAAGTTTTATTACGTATATAATTTGTTTATGTATTTATGTTTTTAGATATTTTACTACCGAGTGTTTTAACAAATCTCTTCGTGTTTTAAATATTTTATTATTGAGCATTTAACATAATTTGAAAATGTATTACACACATTAAAATCAATATGGATTATTATGAGCCTTTAGCCATAAATACTTAGCGTTCTAAGTAAGTCATTTCATTTGAAACGTTTTGCAATTCACGCTTGCTATATCTTCGGATGAGGGTAAGATCTGCAGTCAGTGCTATGAAGATCAAAAAGTCGCAATATATTTGATAGAGAATTGAACAATACTGCATTTCCTTTCACCGAACAAATGTAAAAATCTGTCTGCAATCCTTCCGCTAATTCTGAACAGAAAAGCGAACTTCAAATTCAATGCGATCGAAGATTAAAACCTAAATGAAATTTAAATTTAAATTGATTTCCCTGAATGTATAGATTTATATACTTATATATGGTAGCACCTTTAACCAACTATGTTCGTAAGGGGTCCTTAAGTAAGTCAAATTAGAAGTGCATTCTCGAGTGCATAAAGCTTTATGGGAAATATGCTCACTATGCAATTTCTTTATTGTGCTCTTGGTTTAAGTGCTCATGTCATTCGGTTGCCTACACAAAATATATAAAAATGATTTATGAAAGAATGATTACTATGCACTCATGCGCAATTAGATGCGCAAACTCGAATTAATCGCTTGCTCACGTGCGATGCTGTGACAGCAAATAAGTTCAATGCTTAACGATAAAATACTACGGTGTAATTCTCCGCTGACAAGCTCGTAGTTAATGAATTGAAACACAACTTGAATTGGAAGCCATTTGAGATTCTCTCTACGTCAAATATAGTTATCTTTCGTAAATGAACTCTTGGACATGCGAACTCCTCTTTATCGCAGGATTGAAATGACGAGAGCGCAGCTTTGTTTATATATAGATTTGTCAAATTTTTTTTTAATATCCTTTCCCACCTGTTTGGGCGCAATTTGTTCAGGAATAATTTCGAAAACAATGAATAACTTGGCTTGATTGATAATTATATTATGCTTATGTTGTGCTTTGTTGTCCTTGAATATTTAAAAATAATATCACAGACAAAGAACGCATTAAAACCCGAAACTGTTTTATTTCACGTTTACATATATACGCATGAATATAAAAGACATACAATTAATAAAAATTGGAAGGATAAGCGTTTACGCATACGTTTCTCTTGGAATTGTCCAGAAAGCTGTTTCAATCGAAATGAAGAAAAAAGAGAAGGGAAAAGGAATTGACACGAAAATCTTCAAAATTTTCGAAAAAATATTCTCGTATAAACATTTTTTTTTACATTAAATAAAAAAATTTCCTATAAATAAGTTTTTGAAAATTTCCCACAAAATTTTGAAAAGTACATTTTCTCAAAAATTTCCTACAGAAGAAAATTGTTAAGTAAACTTTTATAATAGATTTTGCAGCGTTTCCCATTATAGAATGAACCAAAAAAAAAAAAAAATTGGTTTCGAGCCAATGACTCTTGGAAAGTGATAAATAAAACAAAAGATATTAGCCTTAGATATTAAATTTTTGCGTTTTTTCCTCTTCTTGTTCTATTCACGTGTAGTATTTGAAAATTTTATACAAATTGCCGAGCTGGGAAAATCAAAAGTGTCCAAAGAAGTTTCCTTTTTGTAAGTAAACAAACGTCAAAATGGAGAGCAAAAAAAAAAGTAAAAAATATTATTTTGAAAAGTTTAAAAGGTCGAAAAAAATTCAAAAAAAAAAAAAAAAAGAAAAAATTTAACAAAACTGTTGTGCCTCATACTATTATCATCTCAGGCCAAGGCAAAAGTTGCTATACATCCATGAAATTTCGAATTATTATTCATGATTGCAAGATTCATAAGTAGCCGCAACACATCGAGATCGCTGAACATTAAAATAGTGATTTGTATGTGTTTCATATTTTAGTGTTATCTCGTCAACCAATAAGATTTACAGGAATAGGAATTTAAACTTTAATAAGCTTTAATGTAGTTGGATGTTCTTGTAAATGTTCGAGTTGCTGAAAACGACGAATATATGAAATATATTAAGATGCAAACAATCTTTACTTAATTTCACACCGATCACCTTATTACGAATGAGGTACTCTTGAGTACTCTTGATTATTTGTTTATCAAGTTTTTAATTATGCATAGGTTGAAAATAGAGAAGAAGAAGAAGAAGAAGAATGAACAAGTTGAAAATAATATAGTAGGGCAAAGACGGCTATTAGAGTACCCTATACCATATAATCGAAAAATAGTTCTCCAACTACCCATGCAATAAAGGCGTACTCTTCATTAAAAAATCCCCCATATGGGGATGAATCCCATTGTCGAACCTCATCACATAGTAAATTTGAAGTCACTGTTTTGCAATATATATATCATCATAAAAAAGATAAAAGTGTTCAAAAAATAAACCCATCGTATCCAGATTATCTACATTCACTTACTATGACAAAACATTATTTTTCACCGATTTTTATTGACAATGTAATATAATAACAATGACAATTTTTCTG